GAGCGATTCTTCATACTTGGCTTAAACTTTATGGACAATAAAGATCCCATTTCAAAGTACAGCAGGGTGTTGAGCCTGGGGTCTCGTCTTGGCTGAGCGTTCCTGGGAACAGCCCTCTGAAGACCAGGAGAATATCTTCAGCTGACACACGGCGTGGAAAAATCCCCATGCAGAAGTTGTCCACCATACGGAGCGTGTGATAATACCATCTCTCATTTATTCAGGGCTAAATTTACATTTGATCAGGTAAAACCGATCCGCCACTTTTGCTACTAAAATGGAGATCCATTATTTAGAGAACACTGTTAATTATGATCTCCCCCCTTTTTCCTATTGTTTAACATTCTGATGTCAAACAGGGAGTGAGACAACTCCCTGTTACGTTAGCATCCAATGCGATTAGAAATCCCATTGCACACAATATTTTTTAAGCATAGTTAAAAATGACGTCCAAATCAAAACCACATGACGCTTATGTGCCATAACCTTTATAAACAGGCCACAGTCATTTCTGGAATCCCCATGAGAAGTCAAGTTCATGAAATTCCTTCACCACTGGCAGTAGAGTTTGTGTTATAAAACGTCAATATTGCTCCATGCTTCTGTGTGTCTGCGAACAGGCTGCTCAGTATGGAGAAAGGACAGTGTCAAGCCATGTGATGACCTAAACAACAGAGGATGGGAGGGGATTCGGCAGACGTGCTGTTTCCTGGAACTCGCATCAGATGAGTAAGATTTTGTCTCTTCAGAACATGAGGGCAGAGTAAAACATGTATAATCACAGCACACTGTATAATAATCTGTTTTGTGCATTATAATTTATTCCAATAAAAAAACTGTTACTCAACACAAGATTTGAGCCATCATTGAATCAGTGCTTGCTCTGTAAGTCTTTTTGCAGAATCAGTTCCTGCAGAAAAGTGCTCCCATTTTACAGATCATGCGCTCATCCTATCAGCAGCAACAGGTTTCACTTGGAGTACAGTAATTCATTCCAGAAGAAGTTGCAACCTCCAAATGGGTCACTTTTAATACTCTGTAATGGCATCACTTGTGAACTTTGGCCCAATGGAGGGTGTTAGTTTTAGGGAAGATGTCTTCAGCTCTACTGGGTGCCATTTAGCATATGAGTACAGTGTGGACGGTCACATTGGCCAGGTTCATTTAACACTATCTTGAGGAATTTCTCAAGTACACTGATGATTCATTTAATACGCTTCACCAGACAGGATGGAAGATTTCCGATTTTGTGGGATTTTCTACATTGAAATTACAGTGAAAATTACTCTAAAACATTATTTGTATTGTTTGGATTTTGATGGATTTTGATATATTTGGGTTAGGATTGATATCAATTTATATTGTTTACATTTGCATTTTTAAAAATAGATAGATATATATTGATTTATATTGAAACATCTAGATGAACAAAACATGATACCATAAAAATTACACATTGGAGTAATGCAGCATGGAAAAAAAACGGTCAAAAAGCCGCGTTTTCTGGTGAGATACACATTTGCAAGTAGATGAGCCAAGGAGATAATGGGCCACACACTGATTACTGCTGTGATAAACTCTCTGCAAATTAGAATCAGCACCTTTTTTGTCACGCTGCATAAGTAGCTTTTCATCCAGTTCTCTTTCCTTATGTTTACTCAGCTTATAAATGGGAAAAGGACAAGGAAAATCAGCAAAGTTTAAAAAAGGCAAACTATTTGAAAACTATTTTAACAATTTTTTACTTCTCAGTAGTGATATATAGTATTATGATGAAACAGATGTTAGATCCCATTTATTTAATAGGCACATGGTTTTATGAAGCAAAAATCATACAGCTGGATATGATTTTCATTAAGCCATGCATTTTAGGGAGAGACTTTTTGAACTCTAAATGTGTGAGCATATAGCACCACCATGTGTTAAGATTTTGTTTTGTAGGCAGATTGTGTTACAGTTTGTTGAAGTACACCTGGCTACAGTTTCAGAGACTAGATGGGTGTGCTGAAAAATGTGTTAATTTAGTATGGTTCAATTCAAGTTGATTTTAACATGATACTATCAAAATGAATGGATTTGTTTTAATCACAGCCATTTGCATGCCAACTGTGAAATACTTCCAGGAGTAATAACAATTAAATTTAGCCAAGGAACACCTGTTGAAAGAAAACGTCACCTCTCATACACATGCCTTTATCCTAGCAGCTTGACATGAATATGGCTGATGACAGATCATGACTGTCAGATGGCTTCTGCAACAAAGTCATTCACCTCTCCTGTCTGCAATACAAAATCCAAAGCAGAAATTAAAGTCTCTGTAATGATAAAATCTCTCCTTCTGTAGAAAATGACAAACGCAATACTTATATCAAGCAAATTCAGTTTAACATGCCCTGTCGAAGTTCCACAGAAAACCCAAGAGTAGAAAAGCCAACATGTCCTGACAGAGACTTGATAGGTTTAATCTGGGACTATAGGCTGATCATGTTTCCCACTCAGAGCAGCAGAACTAGGTGAGGTGCTGTGATTTCCAAAGGAAAGGGCTTCCACTGTGATGTGGCATCCTAAGGTAAACATGCAAATATGCTTGATAACATCTAACACACCCTTGATCTATTAGAACAAAGAGCTCAGTGAGGGAAACGTTCCCTCTGGGGATTTTGCGGCCCGTAAAGAAATTGTTTCCACTCAGTGTGTTTGTGTCTGATGTGTCAGAGAGATTTGGGTGGGTCTTGTACATTTTCATTCATGTTAAGTTACTGTAGAGTTCAAGCCTCAAATCATGGATATTTTGAAAGAGAATTACTTATTGGAATGACTGCTTTTGTATATAAATTTGTTTCATATGTTCTTTCTTTCTATCTATCTATCTATCTATCTATCTATCTATCTATCTATCTATCTATCTATCTATCTATCTATGTATCTATCTATCTATCTATCTATCTATCTATCTATCTATCTATCTATCTATCTATCTATCTATCTATCTATCTATCTATCTGTCTATCTATCTATCTATCTATCTATCTATCTATCTATCTATCTATCTATCTATCTATCTATCTATCTATCTATCTATCTGTCTATCTGTCTGTCTGTCTATCTGTCTGTCTGTCTGTTTATCTATCTATCTATAAATAAATAAACCCACAATAAATAAATAAAAGTGTAGCTACACTAAACACACTGATGTACAGACAATCAATGAACTAGAGCGGTCAGTGATTATTTAAAAATTAGAAAAGCATAAGCAAAAATAAATAAATGCTCAGGAGGACAAATAAATCCATAATTCTATGACAAAATGTAATTTTTTTCCAACGGCTGATGGCTTATGACTCAGAAAGGTTTAGTCATAAGTTGAATCTTGTTCCCTCTCTCTTGACCTGCTTTATGCATCGCAAGGATTAAGTATATTTTTTATGTTAAGTGTATATATTCATGCCCTCATTATATATGTAATATATATTATTTGTTCAGTTGTTTGTTTATTAAAAGTTACAGAGCTCAGAAATGATTGCATAACAGAAAGGACCTGAAAACACCTACAGTTGAAGCAACTCGTGCAAGCATGACACAATCTTGACACTGGTGAGGCTGCCTGGTGCTCTAAAGAAGTTATTTTTCCCCCAGACAGAATAAGTATACTATTAGAAACCTCAAATGTCAAGGTATTTATGAAAATGAAACGTTCCATTGCAATTTTATTCAGCCATTGCATGAAACAGGTCTAATAATTGCTTTTAAATATCATCAGGAAATCATACCACTTAGATGAGTGCCCCAATGCCAAAATAAGTAATCAGAAGCATTTCTTTTTATTATTACTATAATCTTAATTGACATTGGTAGATAAATGAAGTGCCATTACTTTGTTTCTCATTCTTTATTTAGTTTAGTTATGCTGTTTATTATTATTTTTGTATTATATTGATTTGACTTATAACGGCGTATGGTAAAATATGAGCCCACATCGCCCTCTAGTGGAAGTCATGATATAAGATTTAGTGTACAAGAAGTAAACATTATTGATTCCGAGCTCATGACAGAAAATATAAACAAGTTATTATGTTTGTAAACACTGTAACTGTTTTTTTTCTTTCCCACAATCTCCTTCTTTTAATATGTCCCATTGGAAACTCTGTAATCATTCAGGGTGGCCCCATGGTGCTCATTTCTCTATTTCAGTCAACACTAACAATGCCCAGAGGTAAATTAGGAAGGTTAGAGACTACAGTTAACTAATCCCATAACATGAAAGGATCAGTTGTCTTTGGTTATCAGTTAGGCTCACGTTGACCTCATACTAACCTCTTCCTCCAGGCACTGGTTCACAAAGCTGTATTCTGATCGCTAACTGCTAAATTTATCCGAAACTACTGTTTTCAGGCCCACACCCAGAATTTCTGCCTTCAGAAAAATTAAACGTTATAATAATAGTTATTTCTCAATGTTGTGACATTGTTTCTTATATTTGCAAATGCATACTGTATCTCAAAATTGCGTCTTTATATCTCACATACTTATTTCTTACTTAATTATTGTAATGGCAACTTTGTGTTCAATCTGTTTTTTAATATTATTTATATACTTTTATAGTTTTTAATGTATTATTATTTTAAATTAGCATTTATTTTTAGATATTAAATTTTCATTTTAGTAATTTTGTTATGTGCTTTTGTCATTATTATTTTTTCAATATTTCTATAGCTTTAATTTATTTCAGTTTTAGTTTGAACAGTTTCAGCAATATTTCTAATTTTTGAGTTTTTCCATCAAATATTTTTTATTTAAAATGAATATAATTGTAATAGTTTTATTTTCAGTTTTTGATATAATGAAATCTTTCAATCTCACAATGTGGCCTTTTTTTGTGCACTTTTTAAAACTTTATCCCAGTAATCACTTTTTCTTTTTTTTGTGGTTAAACATTGCAATGGCAACGTTGCAGTCCTGAATTTCACAATCATGAGTTGTAATAAAAATTATCTGTTTGTTTTCTCAGGGCGAAATACATCAGCACAGAGCTGGGAATCCGAGAGCGTCTTTTCGTGGGAATACTCACCTCCAAAAACACCATCAACACTCTAGGTGTGGCCGTCAACCGCACCATCAGCCATCATCTGGACAATGTTGTGTTCTTCACTGGTATGCGAAGCCGCAAGATACCCCACGGGATGGTTGTGGTCACCCACGGTGATGAACGCCTCATCTGGAACATGTTCCAGACCATCAAGTACATTCTAGAACACTACATCACAGAGTACGACTGGTTCTACCTCGCCCAGGACGACACGTACACTCAGGCGGATCGAATCAAGGCTGTGGTGGAGCACTTGAGTATGGACCGGGTGCTGTACATGGGCAGTCCAGAAGAGTTCATCGGAGGTGAGATGCGGGGGCGGTATTGCTATGGGGGTTTTGGATACCTGCTGTCCCGCAGTCTTCTGCTAAGGCTCCAGCCCTTCCTGGAGAACTGCAGGAACGACATCCTCAGCTCCAGACATGACGAGTGGCTTGGGCGATGCATCATTGACTATGCTGATACCAACTGTGTGGAAGAATTTGAGGTGAGAAGTTTTGCATTCAGTAGTTTACAAATATGTAAATAGTTTCACTCAGCCTTGGGAAAACCCTTTATATCCCATAAAATCTATATATGGGCAAAAATGTACACGCAATACAGTAAGACTTTTTTATGTTTTGGAAAGAAGTCTCTTATGCTCACCAAGATTGCATTTTTTAGATCAAAAATACAGTCAAATTGAATGGATTTTCAGCAGCCATTACTCCAGTCTTCAGTGTTACATGATCCTTCAGAAATCACTCTAATATGCTCTTGGGGCTCAAGAAGCATTTCTTATTATTATTGATGTTGAAGACGTGCTGCTTAATATTCTTTGATGAATAAAAAGTTGAAAAGAACAGCATTTATTTGAAATAGAAATCTTTTGTAACATTATAAATTAGGGGTGCTCCGATCATGATTTTTGAGGCACAGAAAGCAGTATCTGCCGATACCGATCACCGATACCGATCTTTTTAAAGCCTTCTTTTTATAATTTATTTAACTATTTATAGTGATACTTCAATCAGGATTTTTAGACATTTATTCAGGGCCTGAATTTCATTTTTGAAAATGGGGGAAATTCCCCTCTTAGGTGTCTCTTGTGAGAGAGGAAGCTGTTTTCACACAGGAGTCCGCTACTGATCCGTTGCTGTTTACCACAAACACAGCATTTATTCCAACATTATAATCATTCCATTATATTCCATTATTTCAAATCCAAACATTGTCACTGAAAATGCTTTTTCAGCATTGCAATTCTTTTTTTACACAGTACAGTAATACAATCTTTCACAGACATGTTTAAACGCAATAAATATAAGCAACACATCATTCAATGCTTTTTACTTTTGCATTTAATTCTAGATTTATATATTAAGTTGCTCAAGCAAGTGGCAAAACATTTAAACTACTTTTCTTACGTTATCACAAACTTACCATTGACAGAAATAGTCAGCTCTACTGCCTTTCCTTTTGTATTTAAATCTTTATTACAAGCAATCCTGCGGTTCATAAAGAACTCTGTTTTCCTACCTCAACGAGTGCATCTATTATTGCCTTGTTTATTTAAAAGTGCTCTTTTCCTTTAAAACTAGCCAACAAGCCATATGTGTTGACTGTGAAAGACAGTATACTTTAATTATATGCATTTATGGAGCAATTGCTACATTTTCATATGTACTGCAAACAGTGTGCTGTCACTTTAATTCAGCGCATGTATCACAGCAAAAATAGACTCGGTGCGGAAGCGATCTCTGCACTGCTGCAGACGCACCGCTCCTGAACGCACTGCCGTGTGCAGTGTGAATGCTTTAATCCGTTAACATGAGCGCGGAAAAAATACGCACCACATACCATGCACTGCAAACAGAGTAATGTGAACCTGGCATTATGTGTGTCTCCAGGAGAGCTGAATGGTTAAACACTGACAAGAATTAAAAAGTAATGCAAAAACTTTACTTGTATAAACTTTAGTGACGATGTGACACTGCCTTGATTGTGCAAGTGATAATTCCTGTGTCATCTGTGCAGCTCGCTTATAGACAGACGTGATGTGTGGTGATTTGAAGTCATTCGTTTTTTTATTTTTTTTATTTGAGTACCTCACCTTCAGCATTATAATTATTTCACCCGCGCCGGACTAAGACGGTGACGCTGCATGTCGTGCCAAACCTCTCACGGCAGCGTCATCTGCTTGAGATCGTTTTTTTGAGATCGGCCTTTTAGAGACCTCCGATCAATCATCCCAAAGCGATTATCGGCCGATAATGATCGGTAGCCGATCAGTCGGAGCACCCCTATTATAAATGTCTTTACTGTCAGATTGATCAATTAAAAATAAAATAGTAAATTTCTTTCAAAAATATAAATGTTTTGAAATGGTAGAGTAGCTCCAGACCTGTGACCCTGTCTTAATCATGACACTGTGTAGTGTAAAACGACATGTAACGCTTAAGACCTGATGACTGATGGTTAACATACTTCAACATGTTTAGCTCATGTGGGCAATGCAAGGTCAAGGTCATCTGTCCCTCTTCTTTCCATCATTTCCTGTCTTGTTTTAAATTTCCAAACTATAAAAGTGTGAAAAAGGCTTAAAACAATGAGTATGTTTACATGTGCAATTATAATCAAGGCACAACTGTTGATCTCCAAAAATACATGACAATGTGTAATCAAATATATTTAAAAGAATAAATACACACCACGCATCACCTCTGTTTTTCAGAGCGAGTGTGCATCACTGAGGCCAGTTGTAGTCCGATTAACGTGTTTACATGCTGGAAGCTGAGCTACACTTGCATTATCCAGCTCTATTGGTCAGACTTCACTAAAACCTGTCTGGTACAACAATTTCACTCTGACTAAAGCATTTATGCACATCATACTGCAATCATTAAAGAAGAAAGTGTAATGATGGTGTTTAGGGCATTTTATGAGGAGTCTAATTCTATAATGAGTATTATCATTGTTTTAGTTATGTTTGGTAGTAGGGGTGTGCGATATATAATGTCTGCGATAATATCGTAATTGTTGTTTTAACGATGTGCGATTTGACATTATCGAGTATTTTGCAAAAACCATTCAAAACATCCCTACAGAGCGCATGAATACATTACGTGAAGTCTAGACTAGTGCGTGTGCGCATTTAGTGTGTTTTCTTTCACTGCATGATTCAATCTATTAAAATGCATTTAGAATGATCACAAATTCAAGACACGATGGCAGAAAATGTATATATTTATACCACTTCATATAATTATTCAATTTCACACGAAGAGTGCCGTTTTTCTCCAAAATTACCATGATTACAAATGTGACATTGAATTCAATAAACAATAAGTTAATTAAGAGACTTACATTTTAGACACCATATTGCTTGTTTTTGCTCTATTTCGCCAACAAAAATCATCCCGAATACAGCCACAGTGCTGTTTTGTGTCTCTGAGCAACATTACTGTGTTTCGTTC